GGAGACTGAATGACATTAGATGATTACGATTACAAAGGATGAACTTATATACTGTTAGGGGAGGAAAAAATTGTAGCAAATATTGCAAACAACGAGCATGAGATAGTGTACGGATTTGAAAGCTTAGAAAGGTGGAAAGAAGTGGAAAACATGCTAGACGATGATGCAGCGTCTGTGTTTAATGATATGGCAGGATTGGGACAAACTGATACGGAAGACGATGCAGCGCCTGTGTTTAAATGGGTCTATCTGAACCATATTGTTGTTTTTCCATTCTTTTCTTAATTACACATCAACCAATCTAAAATTAAAACGGCCCATTACAAAAATGAGTAGAAAAAAAAAAAAACGAGTTGGTATGTGTTGTAGAGGAATTTGGACAAAAAAAATCTCTTTTTGAGAACATAATTTATTCAATTTTTTTCTCATCAGAAATAGTCAAATAGATGAGCACATACAGCTCAATTATTTATGCTAGCATTATTACTATGTAACTATCCGTATTCGAACCCACATATCAAAAATAATAATACATTAAATTATTTTTGGTTTTGTTATTTCTAAATGCACAATTCTTTAATATTTTGTACCGAAAAAATAAAATGTAGGGGATTATTCCGAATCTAGATGTGTAAATGAATTTAGATTACGTAATCTTGATTTGAGATTCCTTTTAGGAGTGTTAGTTTATGAGAGGTTAGTGACCTACATGGATTTGTAGATTTCACTTGTGGGATTTACCTACATGGATTATGATTGAGTTCGTAATCGGATTATTTATGATTTAGTTTTCCAACTTGTTAGTTTTAGCGTAAAACTTTTACGGGCCAGATTGAAGCATATTTAAGGAATATGACACAAACATTTGATAATGAAGTAGGAACAAACATTTAGACTTATAATGGGTCTCATACTGTATAGGTTGTCTCTCTTAAGTTTCTTAAAAGCCCAACGATAGTGGTCCATATGGGGGAAAATACAACATTTTTAAGAAACTTTTTCTCATGGTATACTATTTAATTTGAGAAAAAGATAGAGTTATGAATAGTATTATATACAATTCAGAAAAGTCTTTTAATATTCAAAAAATTAATAAACATAATAAAAACTCAATTTGATATCTTTGCCACGTTGATTCGGTTGATGAGATTATATATTGACGTCTTTAACATGATGAAGTGAACTCGTTTCGAGAAACAAGAACCGAATTAAGGCGGAATTGATGGCCGAACTATCTTTTTTATCCTCTTTGTATTTTATATTGTGCTTGCCACGTAGGTTCACATTTATCAAATCTACATAATTAACGTTTGAATGTTTTTCGAATGTTATGCTTCATAAACTCGTTAATAACGAATTAGCTTAACACCCGAAAGACAGAAACCATTTTTACGCGCACATTCTTTTCCCTGAAGTTGTTGTCTTTTAAAATTTATATATATCAGTACATATATAGATTTTTGTTATTGTTCAGCGCAAGATCGACGACATAGATGATACGTCTACGAACTATTTGAAAATTAAAACAAATGAGCGATTTAACAATTCATCATTGTTGAAAAGCTTTCTCAGGAAGC